GGCAAAACGTACATTTTTTGTGCATATAGGTAACCCTCGTGCTGTTGATAGAAGAAACCAGAGAAGTAGTGAATAGGTCTTTATTTCGATCTTCGAACTGTTTTAAATTAAGGCTTGAATTGTTTGTTTTAAGCAGGTTTTGTAATTCCAGATCCTGCTCTTGTTCGTTTCTCAACGTCTCGAAGTTTACTGTAGACTGCTGTAGCACGTTTATTTCTAGCCTAGATAAAGCATCTGCCGCCTGATTGTCCTGACCTTTGACATGCCGGATATCGCTTATGAACTGTGATATATAGTCAGGGTGTCGGACTTCTCGAGGTGAGTATTTATCAGCTCTCGCTTTTAGTGCATTCGTTAGTGGTTTGCGATCCGTAAAGACTATAAATTCCCTGCCTTCTAACATGTGTCGGAAGTGTTTAATGGTTAGGTAGATTGCAAGAAGTTCTCGCCCGAAGGTAGAATACCTTGTCTCTGCTGGGGCGAGTCTTTTTGGGAAGAAAGCAATTGGTTTCCAGGCGTTTTTAACCAGTTGGTTAAGGGTACCGCCTACTGCTTTATCAGAAGCATCCACCATCAAAGCAAGTGGGGAAAGAGAATTCGGATACATCAACGTAGTTGATTGAGCTAGTTTATCTTTAAGCTGTTTAATAGCTTCGACAGCGTCAGAAGACAGTTTGAATTCTTTTGGTTTTCCTTTTAGTGAATCTGTCAAAGGTTGCATTAATTGTGCACAACCTGGTATGAATCTGCGATAAAAGTTAATTAGACCTAGAAAACTTCTCAGTTGTGTTAGAGAACTAGGTATGGGGTATTGTTTAATGGTGTCTACTTCTTTTTTGATCGGTTTAATCCCTTCTGGGCTTATTGTGTGACCGAGAAATTCTAAAGTTTGAACACCGAAACCACACTTACTTTGATGTATGTTTATTCCATGTTCATCCAGTCTTTTTAACACTGTTTTTACATGTTGTTCGTGTGATTGCAAATCGGGGCTGGCAATTAACAAGTCGTCTATATAACCCTGCGCAAATGGCATATCTCGAAGTAGATTGTCTATGAATCTTTGAAATGTCTGTGCCGCATTTCTCAGGCCGAATGGCATGCGTACAAACTCGAATAAGCCAAAGGGTGTTGTAATAGCTGTCTTGGGGATATCTTCATCCGCCACTGGGATATTGTGATATGCCTTGACCAAGTCAATTTTAGTGAATATGTTCATACCCTGTAAACCGTTTGTGAAATCTTGGATATGCGGTATTGGGTACCTATCTGGTACGGTTTGACGGTTGAGGGCTCTGTAATCCCCGCACGGTCGCCAGTCACCTTCATTCTTCTTTGGGACCATATGAACCCCAAATCTAGGGTTAAGTTTTTCTGCCCAAATGTCGCAATTTTAGTTTTATTTGCAGCTTGAAGTGTAATTGATGATGTTTCTCGACTAATCTCAGTTTTATTTTGAGGGATAATGCTAAGAGCAGCGCCAGTATCCACCAAGAAATTCAAGCCAGAGTTTCTGTCTCTAACATAAAACAAGCGACTGTTTTGGTGCCCCTCCTCAGTCGTCGCGACCTGGTGAGGGGTTACTCGTTTCCCGCTGTCTGAGAATTATGCTTAGGCCAGGCGCATGGTTGCATGCACTTGGATGAGTTGACACCAAACTTCCAGTGGTACCAACAAAACTGCCCAGGTTGTCTGGACATTTGTGACTTGGATCGTGGTCGTTGTGGTGACCTGCTTCTGTTTCTATGACCCATTTGCATTCTGGTGACAGCCTCAGTGAGACTCTTAACACTCGCAATGAGTCCTTCTATGATAGGGTCTTTTGCTGATTCTACTTTTTGTGTGTGATTTATTGTGCCTGGTCCAGTTGGATGACCTCTCTCCATTATTCTATCGGCTATACGCGCTAAATGAGATAATGAGGTTTCAGGATCTTGTGCATCTAGACAGTGTTGGACGTAGCATGGTAGAGCTTGTATACATCCTTGTTTTAGGACTGCTTCACCCACTGTGTTATCACCCAATAACACTTGGAGGTGACGCAAAAACTGTGACGGCGACCGATCACCTAGTATTTCACCTTGAAAAAGTCTTTGGATTCTTTGACTATTTGATAATGATAAACGGTTCATTACCTCTCTTCTTAAGATGGTGTATGGTTGTGGTGATGGTGGATCTAAAATCAAGTCACGGACTTCTTTGGCGACTGAAGGAGGAAGGATAGAACACAAGTCTCTATAGCGAATCCCTTCAGATTTGATATTGTGTCTCGTGAAATAATGCTCTAGTTGAGCAAACCACAACTCTGGATCACTACGATCAAATTCTGGAAGTCGGGATTTCGTAGTCATAACAGTGTCTATCTCCACTGGTGACAAATCCTTCAAATTATGGGTTTCTACTGAGTCTGACATGAGGTATGTGGCAAATACAGCAATAAAGTATGCACGAAAAATGGTTACTATAACACGAATAACTTAAGACAATACGGAATAAACTAGTTATATACTCAACTTATTTTACGGATAATCCGGCCTACTTTTACGATTAAGTAGAAAAAAAAATCAATAAGAGAAATGAGGTTAACTATGTGTTCAAAAAGGGCTCGCCACTTTCGTGCTTATAGGTAACCCTCGTGCTATTGATAGAAGAAACCAGAGAAGTAGTGAATAGGTCTTTATTTCGATCTTCGCGCAGTCACAGTGGGGCGTGGGATTATCTGTTCAGACAAACAAAGGCTTTCAACATTCCATATAAGATAGTAGGGAATATAACGCTTACAAAAGGTAAGGAAGTGAATGAATACTTTAACAATACTGTTTTAGCATATGCTTGGTTGTTTGGGATCAACTCTTAACCAACCAACCTGAGCTGTTACACATTCATTCATCCATTACGCCTGTTACCCCTTGTGAAGGAGCATAGGCCGCTCACCAGCATTCTCCATCCAACTCTGTCCTGAGCCTTCCTTTCCAGTTCTTTCCAGTTACTATTCAGCCTGAGCTTGTCAGTATCTCGAAGAAAGGCTGTATTAAACCTTTGTAGTGCTGTTTGTCCAGTTTTCCAGTGTTTCTTTAGCTTCAGTCTCATCTTGGCCACAACCAGGTGGTGATCTGAAGCTATGTCAGCTCCTCTCCGGGTTCTCACATCTTCCATTGATCTTCGGAATTTTTTGTTGATACAGATGTGATCTATCTGGTTCTTTGTGGTGTGGTCCGGTGAGATCCATGTAGCTTTGTGTATGCGTTTGTGTGGGAATATTGTGCCGCCTATAACCAATTTGTTTTAAGCACATAGGTTTGCAAGTCTCTCCCCATTTTCATTTCTTTCTCCTAGTCCATGTCGTCCGATTATATCTTCATATCCTGTGTTGTCCACTCCTACTTTAGCATTTAGATCTCCCATCAGGATGGTGAGGTCCTTTCGTGAGCACTTTGCTACAATTGATTGCAGCCTTTCATAGAACTGATCTTTATCATCGTCGTTGCTATCCTTGGTGGGTGAATAACATTGGATAACGTTCATTGTGATCCCTTGCTTCTTTCTTCTGAATGATGCTTTGATTATCCTGGGTCCATGAGATTCCCATCCCACAAGTGCATTTTGTGCTTCTTTGGACAGCATTAGAGCAACTCCCTGAGTGTGTGGAGCATTTTCCCCTTCGTGACCGGAGTACAGCAGCATCTCTCCTGTACCTAGCCTTTGTTGTCCAGTTTGTGTCCAATGGGTTTCGCTGATTCCGAGTACTGCCAAGTTGTATCTCCTCATTTCCATTGCTATTTGGCTGGTCTTTCCTGTCTCCCACATTGTCCGGACGTTCCATGTACCTATAAAGAGTGTTGCTCTGGTTGTTAGAAGGTGCATCGGTTTCGTGACTTCCGAAGAATTTCAGCTTTCATCATGAGACGTCATTATTCCTTCAACTCCCAGGGCAGAGTTTAAATGGTTTGAATTATTTTTTCTGGTTAGCGTTTTTTTATCGAGTTAGCTTTTCTACGGGATGGGGTCGCTAACCCCACGCCCAACCCTCCTCCTTTACTCGGGCTTGGGACCGGCAGTAACTCTAGAAGAGCTACAGGCGGAGTTGGCAAACGTACGCTTATTAATTTTTGTGACTGTTTTGGGTCTACTTGACGAAAAGCTGACCGATACATATCTGTTGTACCTTTACTTTCACTCACTTCGAAGATTATTACAAATGGTAACAGTTCATTGGATAGCCGAATTGTAATAAATTAAAAGGATGACTTATTACGCGGTTAGGGTGAAACAGGATGAGATGTTAACAGACAGTCCCTTTAATAAGACAAATTTTCCCTGTACATGTCTTTCAGATGTTGCCTTTTACCTAATTTCTAAATCAATTGTATGATTTTTTAAATTTCATTTTATCTATCCCTAATCAATTTTAGGGAGAATTCTCCAGTGTTTCAGACAACTATTGTCCCATAGTGTAAGTAAATCCTCAGAATAAACAGTTCTCTATATCTTCGACATTGATACTGACTTCATAAGTTTTACTGGACACATCTTAGCTGAAGGTCCTTGCAACTGCTCACAGGTTTAGACCGAACGCTTTTCGACATATCGATAGCTTTCGAAATATATCTCCGGTCCCTTCGTCTCTAACTTTTGATTTGACTGGGTCGGTTTACAAAGGCGTCAAAGGATTCTCAGACTCCGAATACACGTGGAATTTTTACAAACAAAAAATTCCGAATTGTCAATCGCTCAATACTGCCCCCCTCTGAGGAAGAGTTATCAAGCCATCATAACCTTCAGTTCTATCAGTAAGACTGACCTAAGACATCCTACTATCAACAGGCGTCCGAATTTCAAACGGTTGGATGTGTCAAGTTTACAGGATAATCTACAGCAGGTGGACTGGAAAATTCACCCTCAACCTGATGTGAATGATCATTAGGATTTCTTGCTGCCCACAATCTTATGTGCTGAAAAGCAGTCAGTTCCACTAAACGTCCCCAAAATCTACAGTCATCATGAATCGGTAAGCCGCAAAATGCACTATTGGACAGAATACAAAAAAACTGGTAAGAAACAGAGCATATATGTGATACTAACAAGTAAGAAACATATGCACAGAGGTAGTAATAGAAGGCAGGGTTCGTTATCAGATAAGGTTAATTGACAAGTCTGTCACCGATTTGAAAAGCTTATTCCGTCAGTCATTCTTTCTTGGACAAGCCTAAACCGATGTTTCTCAACTTCTAGGTCCTAATGATCCAAGCAACAACGACGGTGGTGCCACTAACCTTCTGGCAGAACAGCACTGTTTGACATTTCTACCGACCCACAATATTTATATTGATTAGGGCTTCACATGCAACTCCACAGGACTTTCCGAAGTGAACGCAAGAGCTGGCTCGGTGGACTGGAAACTAAAATAACTAAACAAACACTTCCCCTGGCTCGAATATGGTTCATTCTTCTATACTGAGGATGCAGCTTCAATGTTGACATAACCGCTTAGCATGATGTTCTTACATTCCCTAAGCCGAGGTAAATTACCAGGAAATTGAACACTGGCTCACATCACACTAATTTTCAAAGGACGTAGACGCAGCTAACCTTCACTTATGACCCTAAACAATTATGGAATCTCTGATATGCGATGGTATACACGACTATTTATTATCCCTTTGGGGGGAGATAAGCAATCAAGAGGACATACCGGCACTTCAGGAGGATCTGACTCGACTTCAATGTTGGGGCAGACGACAACGGACTTGCCTTCAACACTTCAAAGTGTAAAGTAGTCCATCTGTGACAAGTTGCAGACTATAGTTACAACTTAGGAAACTCCTCTCTGGAAGTATCCTAAGTTGAAAAAGATTTAGGAGTGCTGGTACTCTACTATTTGTAGTCTTAATCTAACTGTGACGAAAATGTTTTTCGAGCAAATTTAGCACTGATAACACTGATGCACGATTTCGGCCAGTTTGAACAGAGAACGTTTCGCATAATCTTCAGTATTTTCGTACCCCCCATACAGAAACGCAGTATTTCCCCACTACCTCCATAGGATAAGGACACTCTGGAGCGTATCCAATGGCATGCCACGAAAACAGTTCGGGGACTCAAATTCAGGCCTTAAGAAGAACGCCTCCGATCACTTACCTCTACTCATTAGAGTATAGGCGTTTAAGAGGTGACCTTCAAATGGCTTACAGTACCCCTAATACTTTTGGTCATCCACTTGTACATTTACTTAATCTTAGTCACAATATTAACCTAAGGGGTAACAACCAGAATCTGGAGACACAACACGGTAGAACGGATTGTAGACAAAACTTCTACTCCTAAGGAGTTGTCAAATGCTGGAATTGGCTGCCGACTGAGCTAGTTCAAGCGACTTCACAGGAGTCCTTCAAGAGGACACTTGGCCTATTCTTAAAGATTAAAGATAACATCTTATTATGATTTGCCAATTTCTGTTTTTCCTCTATTATCTTTAGTAAACACAGGTTCCTACCCGAAGGTATTGGCGATTCACTGCTATTAGACACGGAAGCCCGTTGAGCGAAAGCGTCTTCTATTCCGTCTTCAACCATTTGAACCATTTGAACCATTTATGTTCAGAACCATTTCAGCCATTTAGATTAGTGGTTTAGTTGTGAAACTTTCTTTTCATTTCAGTAACAAACTGTCTACACAATTATCAGAAGAACTATTTCTGGAAATACAAGTATACAAAAATCCTAGTAGTTATATTGAATATTGGAAGAGAACGCGATACTTTAAGCGTTGCGTTCCTCAGTTGCTGGAAGTTTATCATAGGTTGTCTGACCATGTCGCATTTGCATAATTATTTGGTTGGTATCGTTAGTTCCTTAGCTCCAAAAAATCCGTGTATGCTAGTGTTAATCGCAATAAAAATTTACGAACTAACGAATTTATTTTCAAAGGAACAGAGAAGTTGTACAACCTGGACCCTTGGACTGTCACGTGACAGTCCAAGGGTATGTTAAGACTGAAAGTTTAGAGAATACGTGGAACTGTGACCTCCATTCATACTAATTCCAGATTCCACCCACAGGTTATAGACACTTCGTCAGCTTTAATCACCATTTCTAATGCTTTGTCCAACAATGTCTTCAGGAAGTTATTCTGTCAGTTCGTTAGACCGCTTATTACTTTTTATATCTCGCTCCCGTTCCACTCAGACTATAATCATGTTAAACAGCATCTGTAATTGAGTAAACGTTTTTGTTATTTTTACTGTGTTACCATGGAAATAAATTTGATAAATAGTATAATTTACGGTAATAATAAAAACAGTGTTAAGCTGAACAGTAGCTTCTTGGTTTCGTTCTTATGCTGCATCAAACCGAAGCCTAAAAAACTGACGAACGGAACAATTTCTGAGTTCTATGGTAAATGCAACAATCATGTTCTGTTAAATACCGGATAGTAAATATGCCTACAAGAAACTTTCAGTCGTGTTATTATGTCTAAATATAAGACTTGAGTTGCTATTCTCAATTCAGCAGGTTCCAGACCAGTGCATTACCCTACTGAAAAATGCTTTTAAGGCTAATCAGTTACTTTTAAGGTAACAAAATTTTCACTGAAGTCTTTTGTAGGATTGTCTATCGTGTCTTCCTCACCATGTGTCTAAAGGTGTATAATTGTTTAGCCACTCCCTTGATGATTGGTTTTGTTAGTAAATAGATACCTAATCAAGATTAAATGTCCAGGTAAAATTCCTCACAGCTGAAAATGCTGACAGAGATACATTTATATGCATCTTAAATAGTATGTAAGGGGGTTTAAGATGTTTTGCGTCTTCTAAACTTAGTATTGCTTTGTGGCCAGTTTGTAATAATAGCTGGTTTGATATAGAAAAGTAAAGGCTTTTAGCGTTGATCACCTCATCAAACTAGGAGAACTGAATTGAAGTTAGAGAATTTTTCGCTAGTGAATTACTGATGGAACTGCTAGATCTGTTTCCTGATTCCCACTTTTCTCCTAATCAGAATATTCAGTGATTTATTGACGAACAAACATGCTTAACAGTGGTAGACTGTTTGGGTTGATGGGAAATACAACTATAATATGAACAAAACGTGTTGGTTATTATCATTTTCAAAGTAATATCCAAATGTGGTTATTTATTTATTTGAACACAAATATTGATAAAAAGGGGCACCGAATACATATACACCACACAAGTCACTTGATTTGTGTGTGGGTTGTGATACTTCCCGGGTTCCCAGACCGAAGTAGGTGGTTTCTTAGGGGGCCACAACCGGAGCCTTTGACCAAAAGATATGATCCACAAGGCGATTGAGCAACGTCAGAAGATGCAGTCCGTTGCAGCCAGTGACCAACGATTGGTTAAGCAGCTTGTTTAAGTGTTAGGCGTGGAGTAATAGGTAAACATTATATCAGTTTATCTGTTTGTAATACTATACTACTATTGACTTAGCTGGCAATTGCGTTACACATTCTCAGTATTGTGTACCATTTGAACTGAAGATGAAGTGAATTCATTAGACTACAAGGAAATATAACATGTCTACGCGAAAAGCTATTATGAATCCAATTAGTTGGAAATCATTGATGTAGCTCAAAGTCAGTTACTATCTCAAATACATCTCGTATTTATCGCACCACATCTACTCAATATCTTATTTTTAAATGTCAAATATTGTCGACCATATAGTCATATTAATATCATGTTTTGGATCATCAGTCAGACCATATTCGACAAAATATCAGTTATTATACTTGGTAGTCATCAGCATACAGTCCAATAGATATCATTTTATGTAGACGAAGCCTGAATGATTGCTTGCTTTTGCTTAGTTATGAGAGTAGGTCAATTACTTAAAACCTTCAAGTGATATTTCACGCTTTATTGATTTAAATGCATTTCAATAAAACCATATGATCAAAATGTACTAAGTTTTTAAGAATCTTAGTGGTTAAGACGTTCGTCATTCAACTGCTAGGTCAAAGGTGAAAGTCCCACTCCGCTTAGTTTGATTTGGGCAACCGAATAGTATCGCTAGCCTAAAGTCCCGAATATAGTAATCTGTGCTTCGTAAATGGTTTATACTCACCACCATGTTATTACTTTTACAATTTTTTCTTATCAATCTTGCTAATTTCTATGTCAATATTATGGCAACTTGAGCTAATCCACTTGTGTACCTAGGTTTTAAATTACTTATGACTAACCATTCAATTCATTTAACGACTAGCTTTTTTTATGACAGGAAGAAAATGGGTGGCAGTATGACAAAAATATTACCTGGTTTGTATGTTGGGGGTTTTGATAATGCCAAAAATGAAGAAGAATTAATGGCGAATTGCATATCTCATATAATTATTGTTCAAAATTCGAAAAACGATGTTGAAAGAGTAAGTAATCTTGAGTTACTTTTAACTGTTTGTTGGTGGTTCGTACAGCATAGGGGAGTTTTTGGTCTTTTATCCCAAATGCCCTGGTACGGCCGAGAGTGGGGAGAGTCCGCTCCCTCTCAAAATACTCTCACATGGCTACGCGTATATAGCCTTTGTCAGGGAAGTTCTACTCACTGCGAACGTCCGTCGTCTTAACCGGGTCGGTGGATACAAAGAATCCACCTAGGGGAGTTGGAAAACCCCGATTCCAAACCAATGGTGCACATGGGCTCCAGTATCCTAAAGCAACAAATGGCGTATGAACTAATTGTTGGTCATCGGCTACCATGGGACTGCATCTCCTCACGTTGCTTCACTGCCTTGTGGATCAAACCTTTTGGTCAAAGGCTCGGGGTGTGGCCCCCTAAGATAACCACCCGCTTCAGTTTGGGCACCTAGGCAGTGTCCCAGCCCTCATACAAATCGAGTGAGATTTGTGTGGCGCATATGTATCTGGTGCTTCCTTGTACCGATATTTATGTGTTTGAATAATATAAAACAAAAAATATTTGCTAGGTGTATCTAAAAAGTGGTAAATGTATACACAATTTAGATTGGAAATTGTATCAATGTCTTCCATTTTGAACCGGTTCGCGTTCATGTAAGATTTAACGATACCTTATTGGGACCACTAAATTTCGTATATACTGTTTCTTAGAATATGAATAAACTGATTAAGTATGATGATCAGCAGAGCTATTTGATAAGCTTGCTATTATCATCAAATGTGTTAATATATGCTCGTTGTAAAGTAGGTTTAATGGAATATATGTCAGATGCTTTATTTCCCATTTCTTGTGTTTTAAAATAATATTTTATTCTTTGAATTCATTCTGTATTCTGAGGTCATTGTCTATACCTGATCTACTATACTAGCACTGATCCTATTACTATTAAAACTGTCTTTCGTCAGGCTGTATTGATTATGGTGTGGTGAATTGAATCGGTTTACTTATGTATCAGGTTCTGCTTAGCTTATTTCTGATTGACTGGCTTAATGAATTTTAATGTTATAATCTGAGTGATGCACTCCGCAGTTCAGTATTATTATCACTAGATTGCAAGAAAATTCAGAGATGATCATTTCAACCTATTTTGTGCGTACAAGGCTCTAGGTCACTTATGACTAACTGGTAAAAAGCAGTTTATATATATATATATATATATATATATATATATATATATATATATCGTCCATCTGCATCCTAGCTGTCCAATGTATCCCGTGCTTCCCTCCAGATGTTGACGTCTTCATAATCCTGTCGATCACCAGGAGAAAGAGAAACGGTGATAGTAAGCAACCTTGCCTGACACCAGTCTTTACTTTGAACGAGTTAGTGAGTTGTCCTCCATGCACGATTTTGCAGTTTAATTTATCATAGAAATTCCATATGATGTTGACTATCTTCTCAGACACTTCGTAGTGTCAAAGAGGCCTCCATAGTGTTATCCCATCCACCCTATGGAATGCTTTCACTGAATTTTATGTAGAGTGGTGAACTCCATTCAATTGATTGTCCCACAATGATGCATAGTGTCGCGATTTGGTCAGTACATGATCGATCCTTACGGAATCCAGCCTGTTAGTCTCGAAGTTGGGTGTCTACGGAGTCCCTCATTATGTATAGCAACACCCTGTTAAAGACGTTTTCTGCTATTGAGAGGTGAGTGATGCCTCTGTGGTTCTTACACCTGCTGAGATTGCTCTTCTTTGACATCTTGATCACGTGTTATTTCCAATATGCTGGTACTTGCTTTTCATGCTAAATCTTGCTGTAAAGAATGTGGAGTATCTTTGCAGTTACTGCTACGTCCGCTTTCAGTGTTTCTGCTGGAGTATTGTCTGGTCCCTCTACTTTACCGCTCTTGATTTGTGTGATCGCCATGCTGATTTCTTCAATTGTTGGTGGGCCAGCAATGATTGGGCTGGTCGATTTACGAGTTCTTTGAAGCGCTCTACCCGCCTGTTTTGCTGTTTTTCAATGTTGGTGATTACTTTGCCTTCCTTGCTTTTCACTGGTCGTTCTGGTTTCCCATAGTTTCCAGCGAGCTTCTTTCTTGTACCATACAATTGTCTCATGTTTCCTTCTATTGAAGCCTTTTCCTCCGTCGTTGCTAGGTCCTCCACATATTTACGATTGTCGGCTCTGATGCTCCTCCTCACTTGCTTGTTTGCTTCTGTGTATTCAGCTTGTACCTTGGCTTTCTCTGTTCTTGTTCGGCTGATTATCTGAGGCTATATCAGCTCCTCTCTTAGTTCTCATATCCTCCATCGTCCTTCTGAACTTTTTATTGATGCAGATATGGTCGATTTGGTTCTGCGTAGTGTGGTCCGGTGAAGTCTATGTGGCTTTTTGTATGCGTTTATGTGGGAATATATTGCCGCCTATGACCAGTTTATTGAAGGCACATAAGTTTGCAAATCTCTCACCATTTTCGTTTCTTTCTCCCGGTCCATGTCTTCCCATGCCTTCTCCGTATCTAGTGTTGTCCATTCCAACCTTGGCATTTAAGTCTCCCATCAGAATGGTCAGGTTTTTTTTTGGGGCACTTTTCGACGATCGACTGCAGCCTATCGTAGAATTGATCTTCAACGTCTTCATTGCAGTTGTCGGTATGCGCAAAGCATTGGATGACGTTCATTGTAATACTCTCTTTATTTCGAAGGAGGTTGTTGTCCAACCTGCATCCAATGTGTTTCACTGATCTCAAGCACCTCCAGGTTGTATCATTTCATTTCTGCAGCAATTTAGAAGACTGTCCCTGTCTCCCACATTGTACGAGCATTCAATGTACCTAAATAAATGATTGCTCTGGTTTTCAGAAGGGGTATCGGCATCGTGACTTCTTAAGGAACTCGGCTTTCATTATGAGGCATCATAACTCTTCTAAATGAAGACCTTTTAACTCCCCAGACAGAGTTTAAATGGTTTGAATTATTTTTTTCTGGTTAGCGTTTTTTTAGCGAGTTAGTCTTCTACTGGATGGAGTCTCTAACCCCATTATCAACCCTCCTCCTTTATCTGGGCTTGGGACCATAAGTAACCCCACAGGAACTCCAGGCGTATATATATATATAAACTCATGAGTTGGTTAGTTTGTGTATTACAAGGAATCTCTTTACTGCAATAATGATTGTCTTTAGTTTCTTAAACAAAGTTAACTGTATCTCGGATGCTCAAAAAGTCATATTATGTTTTCTAATGGCAACACAGGTTATTTTCATTAATTTTTAAAATATAATCACTAGTTCGAATAACTTGCCCCCAAATGCCCTGGTACTGCCAAGATTGGGGAGAGTCCTCTCTCCCTCTCAAAATGCTCTCACATGGTCAGGCGTATATAGCCTCTCCAGGGAAGTCCTACTCATTGCCTTCTCGTGGCGGGGGTGTTGCTTACAAAATTGAGAGGACGAAAAGCGAACGTCCGTCGCCTTAACCGGGTCGGTGGATACAAAGAATCCACCTAGGGGAGTTGGAAAACCCCGATTCCAAACCAATGGTGCACATGGGCTCCAGTATCCTAAAGCAACAAATGGCGTATGAACTAATTGTTGGTCATCGGCTACCATGGGACTGCATCTCCTCACGTTGCTTCACTGCCTTGTGGATCAAACCTTTTGGTCAAAGGCTCGGGGTGTGGCCCCCTAAGATAACCACCCGCTTCAGTTTGGGCACCTAGGCAGTGTCCCAGCCCTCATACAAATCGAGTGAGATTTGTGTGGCGCATATGTATCTGGTGCTTCCTTGTACCGATATTTATGTGTTTAGATAAAAAATAAAAAATTGAACAACTTAACGTATTAATTCGCTCTGGTTTTTGTACGCACTTGATGTTGAGGTTCTTGAATGTTATTTTACATTTGTCGGTACTCATAAGTAAGGTACCTATGCTAACTCAAAGAACCTAATTTTTCTAATGTCTGAACGAACGTTCAATAGTATATAAAGGTGTTACAATTAAATTGTATAGCTAGTGATTAGTCCTACAGAATCTTTGTAATCTTGCTATACACCAGTCCGATCAGCTTCTCAAGCAAAATAATGATAAATGCACATAATACTTTTTTGTTTATGAAATGATTGGTTTCTTTTGTAGTAGTAATGTAGTGAACAAGAACACGAGTGGGGACAATCGATGTATTTTAGCACAACATTACAGAATATCTCATTAAAATATAAGAACCATATAGTGAACAGTTAATTTGCAAACTATCAATCAATTGTTTCAATCTTGATTGTTCCTTCTATAAATATCCGCTCATAGTCTCCGATTATAATTGTTCATGAATTTTCATACCAATCGCGTTTCGTCTCCATTCTTTCGTTATCGATCTTCTACTGAAGTACATTCAATGCTCGACCATCACCATATACTACTTATGTGGATATCAGTAACCCACACCACGCTCGTACCCTCTTTAAAGCATTCGTTCTTGCGGTGATTCTGCTCGCCGTGCACACTATCTTTTTTTGCTGCAGTCTGTGCTAATCTCTCCGTCAACCACCAGTTTGGAATAAATTTTTGACCTTCTATGATAACTAATATTCTATTCATCATTCGATCGATCAATAATTCAGACAATGATAACTTATATATGTACTCAAAGTTATTCGATAAACAACCCTAGATATTATGTGAAATGGTAGAAACATTTACAAAACACAAAAATATACTCTATCTGTTTTAAAGTATAATTATGTTTTGAGTACATTCATTATGTAATAGAACAATTCGTTTTAACAAAAATAATTTATTTATAGAGTTTCAAAAGGGGGTTTTGTGGAGATTTTAGTAACTTTATATAGTTAAGATCATGAGTCAATTGAAACTAGACCACCATGGAAAGCCTGAAAGCACTGGACGGCCGTTTCGTCCTATTGACTCATGATCTCAACTATATAAAATCACTAAAATCTCCCCAAAACCGCCTTCTGATAATGATCATATGCACACTA